TTCGTTAATATAGACAACTCATAATATAGACAATTTTTGGCGGGAGAACGGAGGTGTCCATATTAACGAGAGATAACTGTACTAGCAAACTATGGTGCTTGGAGCGCGTCTTCGACTGACGTGTTGAGAGTCCTATCCCGCCCATAAACAAGAAGCGGTCTTGAAATAAGGTATCTTCACGGAAGCTTCCGTGTCCTGCAGTCGGATGTTGTCATACCGACAGTTGATTGCAGAAGTTCTACTGAAAAGTTACGAGCGTACACAAGTGGCGCTCTGTCGTAACGGCATCCTAACTTGTGGCTGCTGTCATGTACATTAACGGACCTATTATTCTGTTAAGCAATTACCGTTCGATGAACGCTTTGCAACACATCAACAGGAGTGTTACAGTGCAGAGCCATGGCCACGGCATGACGTGTTCCGGTATTCAATTTTTTTCTCATACTTTCAAAAACTGGAATGAACAGCCGCTGAAATAACACACTTTTGTCCTTTAAAGGGGCACTGATAGGTCAAAATAATTTATTTTAATTATCCGGAACGATTGAAAACGATGCCCGGACATTGCCCTAGATTCCAAACTTCGGAACTCAGTATTTGTGAAGTAAGAAAACAATTTCCAAAAGCCGAATTTGAATTTCCCGCGCGTCCGTGCCAGCGCAGTGACGTCAAAGATTGAGTCGTCCTGCAAACCGAGTTTCTCTCACGCTTCCCAGCCGTCCCGACCTGAATTGCCCTGTTCGTCCACCGTCCCGAGATCAACCGCTCTTCTCTCTATGTGCCGCCTATCGCGGTGAGCAGACGACGCTTCACTTTCGAGTTTGAAGTTATTTTAGGGCCCTTTCAACGATATCAAATTCTTTGAAACGGTGTGAGGTCGAAGAGAACGCGCAGAGGACTTTTGTGAGCGAGGTGAGGGGCCACGTCGCACCTGTTTTGCGTGAATGGCTGCCACGCCAAGTAACAACCGGAACTACTGTACACAGACACCAAACCTAGTTGTTTTGACCATTTGACGATTTCCATTTTGAAGCCTGAGAGGTCGTCGGACACCTAAAAAAGAGAACTTCGTCCGGTTCCCCGACTCACCGATCGTACTACATGTGCCGATGGCCGCCATGTTTTCTGAGGGAGGATAAAAAGCCAGAAGGCGACATCACTGCGGACTCCGATTTTCGGTATTTCAAAAAGAAGGGCCGTAGTGCGTTCGCAATTGCGTTAAAAAACATGTTTTACGAATGCCGTCATTAAATATTATAGAAATATCGATTACGAAGCTTCTAAATTTTATAATCGATTACGTCCCAAATTTAAGAAAAAGCCAGGAGGTGAGAAGAGGGAGAGAAGGGCTTCGAAGATAACTAAACACGCGCAGGGGTGAGGATTTCTTCTTTTTTTTTCTGGCATTGTGGTATATTTTTGTGTCTAGGATACAACTTGCATCACTTTAGTCAACAAAAATACGACCTTTGGGTTGTCAGTGCCGCTTTAAATTCATTTTCAAACTGTGTAAGAAAACACTTCGACGTTGAGTGAATAGTACCGTTGTTTTGCTTGTCTGTTTCTTCTTTATTTTACTATTTGTTTTTTTATAGATTTATGACATGATATCATATTAAAATTCACATTGTCTTTTATTTTTGCCACGTGTTTCCTTATGCATTGTTGTTTATGTACCATTCCTACTGCGATCAGGAACAAGAATATCTTAGTATAAATGAATGAATAAATGAATTATTTTTTTAACATTTCAATTAACGAATAAAAAAAATGCACTTTGTTAATCAGCAGGTTCCAATAATAATTTAAGATCCCTAAACTCTGTTTTATATTATTGACCTAACTGGCTATAGAAGTTAAAGCGACCCTCCAATAATTTTTAGACCGGTTTGAAATTTGCGCTGAAGTTGAGTTCATGGAACGTGAAAACACTGAGGAAAAACGTTTTTTTTTTCTGGATAATCTCATTATTTTGAAAGCTATAAACAAATTGAGTTTACAAAAAAAAAAGAAAACAAGCAAAACATATTCGCTTTGTGACCATGTTAGGGAACATTCAACGATTGGAGGGATGGAGCGCAGCGGCTGGCCGGAGCGCAAGTTCGTCTGCTTCTTTGTAGAAGTGGCGATGATGTCAAAACGCCAAGCTCTTATTGGCTGATTGAAAAAAAAAACAAAAAAACATAGTGGGTAGACCCCGAGGCGACCAGCATTGAGGTCTACCCACTATTTTTTCAACCAAAGTCAATCAGAGCTCGACGTCGTTCTGGACGCCACCGGAATTCCTCTGGTAGAAGCAGACGACTTTCTCTCCGCAGTCGTAGACCAAACGTGTTGAGTCCTGCGGATTCTTGGGCGAGTTGGTACTGAAACTTGGAGAACATAATAGCGCTTCACGACAGGGACAAAGAGTAGGAACGAGACAACACAATGCGCTAACTTCAACTGGTTAAATCGTCGGAAAATCAAGGGTATAAATACTCTGCATCATCGCGCCATTGAACCAATCCCAAGCCACGCCACTGGTCGCAAGAACTGTGTCTCTTTGTCGGCCAAATCGATCGACGCCACGCTGACACATCGATCCCCGTAGTTTTTTATCCGGTCTGCCTCTATAATTTCCCTTACCGTCTTATCTCTATGTTTTCTAATGACAGTGCACAAATTAAATTCAGGTTTGCACCCACAGTCATGGCAGTGCATCGACAAATGACCGTCACGCTGTCCGTTCACTTTTTGGTTGTGCTCGCGCAATCTCTCATTTAGACATCTTCCCGTCTGTCCAACGTACTTTTTGCCGCACGTCAGCGGGATCTCATCAACGACGCCTCCTGCGCAGTCCACAAACGGGCTGCGATGCTTGTTCACGCAGCCAACCGGTGGTTTGGCGGTAAGGGTCCGTAATATTGCGCAACTTGGCAAGTTTTTCCGGTGCAGAAAAAACCACCCGAGCATTTACGCGGTTTTCTATCCTTTTGAGATTGTGTGCGGTTTTGTGCATGTAAGGCACAACCGCCACTCTTTGTTTCTTTTGGGCCACATCCTGGTCTGGACTCGCTACTACTCGTAGCTTCTTTAAAACCTTTTTTGCAACCGACACCAGGAGCGTCCCCGGAAAACCGGCAGCCACCAAGCGTTCTGACTGCTCCTTCAGACCTGAAGGCATCGCATGATGACAGGACCTTCTGATGGCGTTGACAAACCACAAATTTACAATTCCTCTCTTAACAAGTTTCGAATGGGATTAATATAATGGCAACAGGGGCTTATTTGCTCTTGGTTGGTATTTCCAACACACATGTTCCTCCGAAAGTGTGAGCCTGATATCTAAAAACTGTATGACGTTGTCCACAGGTACCTCGTCCGCAAGCTTGAGAGGAATTCATCCCCTTCGAAACTTGTTAAGAGAGGAATTGTAAATTTGTGCTTTGTGAACGCCATCATAAGGTCGTGTCTTTTGTATAAAGTTCGCGGCATCACTAATTTCATTACCGGATTGCAATAGCTCAAGTTTTTGCACAACATGTTAGACAAAATAACCCTGTAGCTAGGGGACAAAAAGGGACGGACAGACACGAAACTCCGAGCACAGCTAAAGGTTTATTTATTTCAGAACACCTCCTTAAATAGGCCCACAAACCCCCAAGAAGACGCACGCTGCCCAAGAATGTCTACCCTTAACCAGCTCGCCTGCCTACTTGCTTCAACTTCAAAGATGTTAGATGTTTTTAAATGTTGCTAGCATTGAGTTTTGGGGACTTATATTTTATTTATCTAATCTTAAGCCTGTAGTACGAAAAGGGTAACATGTGAAGCACCTCTAATCCCGAGCCTCAGCCTATTTTTTTTTTTTTTTTTGTAATAATGCACGATTTTTATTAAGCCTCAGGCCGAACTATCAACGCAGGGGACAGAAGGCCCGAGCCCAACCCGGCGTGCCGGGTAGCACGCATTTTTTCGGGTCCGGGCCGGTCCGGGCTTGAACGAATAAATTTTCGGGCCGTGGTTGGGCAGTCGTGTGCTGAAAATTCTAGAACAATCGTAGTGCAAGATCACTACGGCGCCGCTAAAAAAAAAAAAAAAAAAGAGAGAAGAAAAGTCTTGCGTTTGGAAAGCTTTTGCGTGGATAAAAGGAGACGTATATGATTCCAAAAGCATAGTGGGAAAGTGCGATGAAGAAAACGAGAGCACTCTAGTCGCAGGGTATAACATGTAAGTGTCTTTTTCATCTGATTTTCAAGAAAAAAATAAAAGAAAACACGTGATCTTGACTTTGCACTTTGGGCAGGGGGTCTTACTATGCCCCAAAGATCAGCTGACTACCATAGATAATTTAATGCTTATACAGCGTTTTGAAGATGCACTAGCATGATTTTGATTGTTTTCTTTTTTTTTTTTCACAACAACATGTAGCGAGGAAAGTTCTCTGTGAAACGTGAACAACAAAAAGTTCAATATCTCTTCAAGAAATGCATACAGTAAATAAAATATTTCCCATTTCTCAAAATCATTCGTGAAGTAATTTCACCCATATTCTCGAAAATACATCGTCTATTTTATCGTATAAAAAAAAAAATTCGATTCAAGTTTAAAAGAATTTTAAATCAAATATGCTCGCTTTATGCTTAAAAACTTTTTAGGTTAAAGCCTGCAAACGTTTTCGGGCGCATGTATATAATCTGTCGGAATCGGGCCGGGCTCAGGCTTATATTTAAAACAAAAAAAGGAATTTGTCGGGCTCGGGTTGCGCCCCAGCTTGTCTAAAGATTCTGCCGGGCCCGGGCCGGGTCGGACCGGGCTTAGAAATTCCAATCCGTGCAATGCTCTAGTAGAGTGTCTGTCCAGTTCCGTCGGATAAGTTCCGCTAATAGCCTTCCAGTGGATGATCCTGGCTGTTCTGCCAGTAGCCCTGCAGCTGTCGCCATCACGGACTGCGCCGCCCCGCCACAGCTTCAGCGTGACTATGCGCTACCCACTGACATCGTTGAAGAGCTAAAAAGATGATCTTCAATCAAAGAGACAATCTGGTAAACCTGCAAAGAGAGCTGGAAGTGGCTAAAATAACAGCTGTCAACGTAGAAAAGCAGAAGAAAGAGAGGGAGGTACGGTCTTTAAAAAAATATTAAGGTGGCTCGGAAAGCGCAATGAAAAGCTGACAAGCCAGCTTAATTTCTGAAAGTAGGAGGAAGCACAGTCAAAATAGCGACGAAAAGAAAGGTTCTAGCAGTTCACGTGTGAAGAACTGCTCAAGGGTCCCAGGAAGCTCAAGTTCTACACAGGGTGTGCTAATCAAGCACACCTTGATGGCTTTTTGTCGTTCTTCCGGCCCCACATCCAACTGTATACAGTATTGGAGCATGAGGCCCATGATAACTGAAAGCGAAAGAAGGTTGCCCCGCCCACGGAGGGCCAGTTTCTTCTCACTATGGTTCGCCGGAGGTTGATTCTGGATGGAACACACCTAGCATACAGGTCGAAAACTAAGCTAACTGCGTATTATGTTTATCGAGCTCACAGTGTAGGACCCCTCATCATCTCACGAGCGTTTGAAATAAAATTTATGCCAAAGTAGTAAACGCGAGTGGCAATTCAGCTCGCAATCCCACATGCCACTCGACGTGTGCTGGTTCGCCAACTCATCAGGGGCATTCGATTTGATTGATCAAGAGTAACCCTGAGACTTAGGAACAATAAAGAAAAACAACTGGCAGAACACCGAAGTATTTAACACAGCTTCAAGAACACAACACAACTTCAACGAAGCCTCTAACACAAGTAACTGTGATAGAGACTTTATTGTTCTGTCCGTTTTTCATTGCTCCTACGTCTCAGGGTTACTATGAATGTCATTCACCAGCTCGCTGTGTTTTATACCTTTCTTCACTTATCATTCGATGTGACTGGCCTTTGAAATGCCCTCTATATAGGAGGGAGTATATACAACTGTAGATGCTCACGTTTGCTGAACGCTACTGTCCTGGGGGAAGTCCATAGAAAAAGCGACGGGCCGTCGTAGGAAACAACTTGAAAAGGCGACTCTCAGAATTTTCTGATTTCAAACCATGAAGTTCGAACTTTTAGGAATCTGTAAATCTTCTAAATTTGCAATCTGGATCCTCGGTGGACTTAGAAAGTTGGAAACTCTGCAAACACGAACCTCGGTGAAATTAGAAGGTGCGAACTTTGCAAAACCGAACCTCCGCTATGTTAGGAACTGTCCAACCTTTCGAACTCGGACCTCGGGAGGTTCGCGTCATGTCTATAGTCGGTGGCGAGTCAAGAACGACGAGTGAGGGAAAGGAAGGGTGTGGAGAGGCAACCAAACGGGACACTGGAGTGTGGAAAATAAAGCCTCCTCTCCTCTCTAGTCCCGCCTGGTTCCTCCTCCCCGCCATTCCTTTCCCTCGCCTTTTGTTCTTGACTTGTCACCGACATCTTCTTGTCGACATCTTGCTTCGTAAAAAGCTTTTTTGTTTACTTTCTGCTCTTAATTTAAGCTCATTCTCGTGTTCACAATTACACACACCACTAGTCATACATCTGGTTTTATTGGTACACATGCAGACATTTACATAGCACCATTAGCAATAAAAATTAAGAAAAATCATTAAGCCGTTAGAAGAGAATGGGCACACAACATACTCACAAAAAGCGCTTCCCTCGTGGCATTTTATCTGTACAAATGTGCCAAAACTGTGCTGCATTTTCGTTAGTTTGTTTCACTAGAGACTGAGCAACAGTTCAGTACAACCCTGAAAAATGCGCTGAAACCCGAGGTCCAGAACTCTCCACAAAGAGACATCACATTTTGTTGTGGAGTTCTAAAATACAAAAAAAATTGTCGAAAAACAATTCAGATGGCTCACTAGATCTGTAAAGTAAGCGGGGTCAAAGGAAACCAAAACCTATACTGGAGAGGAAACGCCACTGTCAACATAGAGTACAGTTGAAGACACCTTTGTTACATCCATCTGCATTTGCACATATGGAAAGGATTTACTCTTTTCTTTTAGTACTTTATCGTCCATCTATTTTAGTGAAAATCTGAATGTCCTCTGTGCATCTTATCTCCAAATTCCTGACTACACAGCAGTCACACTTAATCAAGGCATCTGGTGTTGCTGCAGTGAAGAGGAACTCATCTGAGAAAAAAAGGCCGCAGTCGGAAAGTGAAATGTTTGTGTGCGACTGCTTGTCTTGCACGAAAGCTTCCTTAGCAGGATCCTCAGAAGACAACCCTTTTTCATTCAAGGGTTCTGCTTAATTGGCTTCCCTGTGAGAACTTTTAATAAGCACCTTGAACTTCGGTTGCGTTTTTTTCTAGTATGAGAATACCCATGTGAAAACTCTGTTAGCCACGGAGGCCGTTATGAGACCCTTTCGCTAGCGGTGCCATATTTTACTTTTGAGCTGGTTTTGTGTTGTTGCCTCAACCAATTCCATTTCTTCTCTTGTATAGCTGCGACTTTCGCTTACTTGCACTAGCTTCATTCAGGTTGGTGGTATATGTTCAAGGCCTATGTCGCCTTTTCCAACTATGTCCACACGAGGCACCGAAGTGAAATCATTACTTTTAAGCATGTCTGCTAGGCACCCCAGATCATTTTTTTTTTGTTGCGTGGTGTGAAAATTGATCAAGCCAAGTCGAGTCAAGCTCGCGTAATCTTCAGGCAGAGATGCATAGCGCCTTCTTTTAATGCGGTGCTCTGGCGCACAACTTAGGGTTTGTGATGTGTATTTTTTTTTTAATCCAAGCTTCCAAACTTGCGTTCGACTGCCTCGGGGGTTTATAGGGTTATATAACTTCCGTTCTGTTTCCGTGAAGGGCACTTCTAGTGGGACCAGTTTTAGTTCAGGAGTTGTTATGTTTATTATACTATAGATCACACCACAAATATGCTTGCAAACAACCCCTTGGCCAGCAACACAGCAGCATTGCCGACCTTGTACATCTCAAGTGCTCTTGTCAAGTGACATGCATACACTTTTGAAGGCAGTTGTGAACATTGACGCCAAAACACGTGCCCGAACTTTTGTGCTTTCGGAAGGTTCGCTTAAAAACTCAAGTTTATGCAGATGTCCGCAGGTGAACAAACGTAGCCCAGCCTCCCTGTGTTTGCTTGCGCCGTCTGCTTCAGTGTAGCTGAAAATGCACACCGTAGCTAACTAAATTACCACGGCCTAACTAGAAAATACAAGCTAGAGCGGAGTTTTCTTAAAGTTAGGCATGCCATGCTTACTCATAGATCTGCCTCGTGCTGAAGAAAGGGTTTATACTGCTCGTTTTACGCCTCGACGTATCCTAATTCAGTTCTCGTAGGACATCAGGAGAGGTTGTCGAACTTTATTGAGAGAACAATGCGTAATAAATGTTTTAGGTCATTATTACTAGCCCTTAAAAAATGTATAACGTAGTCACAGCTTTTAAGCACAATCTTAACTACCACACATCATCAAAGGGACACTGACACCCCAACAAAATTGTTTTGATTTTTTTGCCACGCGATTTAGCAGGGTGTCAGGAGACTACCCAGTCAATATTTTGCTACAGAGTAACATGTATTTTAATAAAACCACAAAAAGAAAAATGCTCGAGACCAAAACACGAGCATGGTAGCTCACGGCCGGAAGTCACGTGGCTACACCTGACTGCTATTTTGTTTTCCTCTCCCCTTCTCGGGCATGTGAAGCAGACAACGAAGTCGCATTTACTGTTTGCCGCGCGCATGTTTCGCACTTATATCCCTTCCGCTCGATGTCCTGCGCTTGAAGATCGATTGGCCGGTACGACGAACGACGGTTCCAAAGTAGCGGCCCCATGCCCATCGCAGCGTTGGTCTGTCGTGCGTCGCCATCTCGTCATCCAGACGGCGCCATGCTCGCGGTACGTCGCCTTATTAAGAATGACGTGTACATGTACTTCATGTGGTTTGTTCAACGCTTTTTTTTCGATCAACATATTTGCACCTTCTTTGAGGCCGCAAAAACGATGTTCGTATTCTTTACTATTTTTTATATTGCCTGTGTGCCTTAGATGACCCACGACTTTGAATATATTTGGTACGCGAATTTGAGCGCCACGCAACCGTGGAAACGATAGGGAGCGGAACTGAAAACAACCAATTCTCGACCTGCTGTTTTCTGGCGGAAAGAAAACAAACTTCGAGCCGCAAATTGTGTTCTGGGTAGGTGGGCTCATATAGGTCAGGTTCAGATAAAAACCTCGGTGAGCATAAATTCCCCTATCGGTGCTCCTTTGTGGTATATACAGAACTATCTCAAGGTTAGAAATAACAAATTGCATCACCCAAACATTCCAGGCCTATATGACATACTGGTTTCGAATTCCGCAGTGAATAGTGGTTGTGCTTACTCATCTCAAACATGACATGATGTATGTTTACAGGTTCGGTGTATCCGAGAGAGCAGTCTCAAGAATCTGAGTCGCGTCATTGGATTTTCTGTATAGGCGTTTTCTGCAAGTAACCATAATCAACAGGTCTAAAAGAACATCAGTGGTGCAGCTCAAATTTCTACGACAGAATCTGTATTTTTGCTACAATTAAGGGTTCCGCATGTACTGAGTTTATGTTGTATGAGTCATAAAAATATAATATTTTTCAGGAACTCGTAGAGAGCCACAAATTCTGACACAAACCTCAATCTCTTCTAAAAGCGCATGCAGGCCAGAAAACTCGTGCCTTCCCTTTTCCACCAATGCCCACATTTCTAGTTTGTGCACTCAGTTTTTAGTGTTTCATAGTATTTATTCAATCTAAATCATTAGAAATCCCCTCTTAAAGGCCAATTCCGCTCGATTTTCGCTATTGAGACAATTGCAGTTCCCTTTTGTATTATCTAGAAAGGCTACAACTCAAATATTTCCACTGGCCATCAAAGTTTGGTGAGTGCTAATCCGCTAATTTAGGCAGGCAAGGCGTTCATATATTAACAAAACCCATCTTTTTCGGGAACGCAAAAAATTAATACTAGGGCTTCCAACCGCTCATGCATCCACTGTCAAATATTTCATAATGCTTGCAAATTTCCGGATAGTTGCTAACCCTGATAGTCTGAATTCGATTTTTGCGATGTTAAGGTC